GTTCCCAGTTATTCAATCAAACAGTAATCTAGGTGTTGCTGTGAAGGTATTCTGTAGATATGGTTAACAACTATCATCAGTAGTCTTTAAAAAAAAATTATTCTTGATAACGTGGATTGGCCTCATCTAATCAGGTGGAAGGACTTGAAAGCAAAGCTGAGCTTTCTCTGTGCTATAGACTGAATGTTTGTGTCCCTCCAAGGTTCACATGTTGAAACCTAATCCCCACGGTAATGGTATTTGGAGGTGGGGCCTTTGGGAGGTGATTAGGTCATGAGAGCAGAACTCTCATGAATGGGATTAGTGCCCTTATAAACGAGATCCTAGGGGCCCGCCCTGTGGCGTAGTGGTTAAGTGCCAGCGTCCCGCTGCTGGCGGCCCAGGTTTGGATCCCGGGTGCGCACCGGGCGCGCACCAACGCACCGCTTGTCAAGCCATGCTGTGGCGGCGTCCCATATAAAGTGGAGGAAGATGGGCACAGAAGTTAGCTCAGCGCCAGTCTTCTTCAGCAAAAAGAGGAGGATTGGCAGATGTTAGCTCAGGGCTGATCTTCCTCACACACACACAAAATAAATAAATAAAAAATAAAAGAGATCCTAGACAGCATTCCTGCCCCTTCTGCCATGTGAGGACACAGCAAGAAAACAGGCTGTCTGTGAACCAGAAAGCAGGCTTTCACCAGACACCAAATCTGCCGGTAGCTTGATCTTGGACTTCCCAGCCTCCAGAACTGTGAGGAATAAATGTCTGTTGTTTATAAGCCACCCAGTCTTTGGTATTCTAATTATAGCAGCCAGAACTAAGATACCCTGAGCAAGAAGAATTTCTGCCTCAAGACTGCAGCAACAGCTTCTACCCAAGTTTCCAGCCTGTCAGCCTCTCCTACAGATTTCAGACTTGCCAGCTTCCCACAAACGTGAGCCAATTCCTCAATGCCTTGAAATACATCACGCTCTCTCTCTGCATGTATGTATGTATATAAAATCTCCTACTGGTTCTGTTTCTCTGGAGAACCCTAATGCAGGTAGTAAGGTAGTGGGTAAGAAGACAATTACATATGGCCTTGTCATGGTAAGGACTCTAGCTTTAAGTTTTAGATGAGAAGCTAATGGAGGATTTTGAGCTGAAGCATGACATGATCTCGTATTTTGTTTTATTTTTTTTTGCAGGGAAAGATTTGCCCTAAGCTAACATCTGTTGACAATCTTCCTCCTTTTTTTTTTTCTTCTCCCCCACCCCAAGGCCCCAGGACACAGTTGTAAGTTCTTCTGGTTCTTCTATGTGAGCCGCCACCACAGCATGGCTACTGACAGACAAGTGGTGTATGTCCAAACCTGGGAACCGAACCTGAGCCACCGAAGTGGAGTGCACTGAACTTTAACCATTAGGCCATCAGGGCTGGCTCAATCTCATATTTTAAAGAGTCATTCTGGCTTCTGGTGTTGGGAACAGCACAAAGGGGAACAAGAGGTGATGGTGGCTTGGATCAGGGTGGTAGCAGTGGGATGATAAGAAGTGAGAGAATTCTAGATGTATTTTCAAAGTAGAGCAAACAGAATTGTTTTTGTAATGGGTGTGGGGAGTGAGAGAGAGGAATCAAGGATGACACTAATTTTTTTGGCCTGAGCAATTGGAATAACAGGGTTTGGAGCAGGTCTGGGATCAAAAACATCAAAAGCTCAGTTCCGGCAAGATTACCTGGAAATGCCTGTTGGCCAGACAGGCAGAGATATCAAGAAGACATTTGGATATGTGTCTGGTGTTCAGAGGAGAGATTCGGGCTGGAAATATAAATGAGAGAATGGTGACTTATATGGACCGTGCGTGGTGGGGATTAGAGGATTTTGGTGAGGTGAGCGATGAAGGTGAGGGGAAGGAAGGAAGCAGGTGCAACCCCAGGTTTTTGGCTTGAACACTTGTTAGAAGTGCCATTCTCTGTTAGGGAATGCAGATGGGGTAGTGAAGATGCTCGGTTTTGCATGTGTTGATTATAAGACATTTATTTAACTGGAATTGGAGATAATCTAGGAGATTATGTAGTCTAATTTGATCCTTTTATACATGAGGAAACTGAGGTTCCAGAACAGCTATCTTGAATTAGATTGTCCAGTGCTCTTTTCGCAGTACTAGACTGTGAAAGTAAAAGGCACATCTCCCTAATTCTGAGGTTGGCCCAATCCTCTCTAGATTAAAATAACAAAAAACAAAAAAACTTCAATAGTCAGATTGGCTCTAAGGTCAAGGGGGAATTCCTATCTATTTTGGGGAAGGATGCGGTGTCCAGTGTAGATTAAGACTATCCCAATATTTTCAGGCTCAGTGTCTCAACTTCAGGAAGCTTTAGACTGTGGTGATACTGGGCCAGGCCAGGCTGGACCTTTTTCAGGAGGAATAATTGGGTATCAGCACTGTAGCATTTTATTCTACCTTAAATTAATTCCTAGATTGAATAGCTTTTCAACTGCCATCAGAGATTTTCATTGGCTGATTTTGGAATATTGTTTAAATAAGAAGGAAAGCTTGGGTAAATGGAATTGGAGGGTGTTGGGGGCAATGTTCATCTCTCTACTGAGTCTGTATGATAGTGAGGTCAGCAAACTTGGGTTCAAATCCTTAGCTGGACTCTAAGTAGCTGTGTGATTTTAGGTGTTTGTTGAACTCTCTGGACTACAGGTATCTCGTCTATAAAATGGGGATAATGATGTCACACACACAGAATTATCCAAGGGAGTAAATCTATCACCCAGCCTGGCAGAGGAGGATCTTAATTGCTCTCCTTCCCCGCAGTAAAATCCTTTTTAGCTGTTTACCCTCTAGCCAAATTGGTGTTGAAGATGTACTGAGGGTCAATTTTAACTCTTTTCCTTGGCCTGATTCCCCACTTTTTCTAATCCTCATTTCCATTAAACAGAGTAGATTTCTGGCAAAACAGAATGGTGGCATGGGGTCAGGGCCGGGAGGTGTTTCTGAAGGCAAGCGTGGGAATATTCCCCAAGGGAACAGGAGAGAGGCCAGCAAGTCCTAGCAGTCCCATGGCAGAGCCACAGAGTGACAGCAAGGGCTCAGAGGAAGGCCTCATGGGGTGTCCAGAGAGGGCAGGTTCCTGCCACAGTCAGGATTTCTGTACCCCGCAAAAGAGAGAGCCCCCTGTCATCAAGGTCCTAGTGTAGGACCACAGAGTTCCATGATGGTTGACAATCAGGAGTCTTTCCCCATTTACCCTAAGACCATGTAAGCCTCTTTGATTCTGGTGTGACCCTCACAAGTAGCTCTATTGATGGCTGAGATGGATTTTCTCACTGAACTGTTAGAAGTGGGTTCAAAGTTAGGATTAACTTATTCAACCAACAGTTAGAAGTTTTCAGACTTAGTCACAGCAGTAACTGCCTGATGTTGGTGAATTGGAGCAAGTTTTGTTAAAAAAATGCAGAGAACAAAATTCAGAACCCCTACAGCATTCATTCGCCTCCCAGTGGAGTAGGGCTCCAGGTTCTAGCTTCTTCTGGGTTCCTGCTTACTACTGCTGTGCTCACAGCTATTTCAGGTCCTTCAACAATGTCTACTACATAGGATCACTGGGGGTTTCAATGGCAAACTGTGCCTAGCATGTGGTTAACATTCAATAAAAGGGACTGATTACCATTCTGTCAGCATAATATTCAAGGAGTAGTGCTTCTTTCTCATAATGGTTAATGCCCAAGTTCATCCAAGTGTTAATTTCAGACAAGTGTGTTAAGAGCCAAAACAGGTTTACTGTGAAAAGAGGAAAATTATCAGTACACTTTGGGCCTCAGTTATTTTACTGAAGTTTCACTAAAGGCTTTCTCCTAGTCGACTTCACCGTTCCACTTGGCAAGCTGGAACAGGTGTAACTTCATCAAAAGAATAAACAATTACATCTATTTCAAAACGAGTTAGAAGCTGACTGTAACAGACTCTCCACCTACTAGAGTCATTATCGTCTAACAGGATAGGGTTTAGGTCACCCTATAAACTCTGTGGCAATTCACAGATGCTCTAGTAGAGGCTACTAGAATATAGCTAATGTGTAGAGAGGAATCTAAGTTACATGACTCAAATATAATGATGTTCTGGAACCAGGCACTTTTGACTCAGATTTGTATTTACATCAACTACATGTAGAATATGGTCAAACAGCAATGGTACTTTTTTTTTTTTTAAGATTTTATTTATTTATCTTTTCCCCCCCAAAGCCCCAGTAGATAGTTGTATGTCATAGCTGCACATCCTTCTAGTTGCTGTATGTGGCACGTGGCCTCAGCATGGCGGGAGAAGCGGTGTGTGCCTGGGATCCGAACCCGGGCCACCAGCAGTGGAGCACGCACACTTAACCGCTAAGCCATGGCGCCGGCCCCAGCAATGGTACTTTGATTCTCTGTATTAGAAGAAGGTAGTTGATGGGAAAGAGGGAGAAATTTACAGTAAGAGTGATACCTTCTGTGAAATTTTCTTATATGTTATCAAATCTATAGTATAACCTTCCTTAAATGGATTATCATATGGTCCTTATAATCTGCAGTGGCACTGAGGAGATTACTGAACTCGTTCAATAAGTCAGGTGTTTAGGACAGTACCTGACACATGTTGAGTAAACATTAATTTCTGCTTAGAAACTGGATCAAAATCTTTTACCATGAAGTTTCTGAACCTAAATTGTGGCTCATTCACTACATTACATTCTGATTTTTAAGTTTTCTGAGTATGAACTTTCTGATATAAAGACCAAAGTTCTTACTTCATACGTATGTGTCTCACATGGTTTTGAAAATATTTTTAATAGAATCCCACCAAACTATTTATTTTGTCAATTTATAGTTCTGATCTTATAGCCCCATCTCACTGAGCCTCACGCACATCCAAGAAATTTCCAGACACTAAAAAAAAGTAAAAAGACCTTTGATTATAAATCCATTTTCCTTTCATTTGAAGCTTAAGTCACGTTCTGTTTAAAAAAAAGAAAAAGATGGAAACACCAAAAGTTTAAGTTTAATCCCTTTGTTATTGTTGCCACTATGGATACATTCTCCCAATTCTCTGCCTCAAATCCCAATGATTCTTTTATATTTGCAACACGTATCCATCTCTAGTTTCCTTGTGCTGAAACGTTTGGTAGTGAAATGTGAGGTCTCTCTCGGAAAACATATGCAACGTGTAGGATGAAATGTGTGAGCAACATTTCTTACATCACATGAAATTCATGGTAATGCCACTAGATTCAGTTCTTCCTCATATTTAGAGAGCTTGAAGTTTCTGTTTCTATGTAGAATACAAAAGGAAACGTGAATTATATAAAATTTAAGTGTAATTAAAAATAAAGATATATCAAACATTTACAGTACAAATTTTGCAAAGCCTTCAGATGAGCGACAAAATCTTGGAAATTATTGTAAAACTGTTTTTGTTCTTTTTCTCCATTTCCCATAAGGTCAATTCCTAAGATATTTCTCTCTTTTCATTATATGAAATTAGCTTTCAGTTAAAGAACAAGTGGTAATAAATGAGGACTGCCAGAGCCTCAAAAGGTGATGTTGAAGAAAATAAGATAATTAGGAAAAGCAGAAGTCCAAACATTAAAAGTCTGATTAATATTAGATAAACTCGACTTAACACTGGTAAATCAGTTTTCAAAAAACCAAGCACTTATCGGCCTTTAGTTTTATATCCAATCACTGCATCAAACTTAATATTGATCTTTCGTTTTAAAACTGCCAAGAAGCGCTCAGGAAAGATCCTAAAAGAAAGAGACATGAAAATAATCAGGAAATTAATATAAGTGCATTTTAAAAATATCTTCTTTTAAAATACTTATATTTATCATGTCCATGTTCATCTTAAACAAGATTAAGAACTTGTAACTCTGAGTCACTAATATATGTTCTTTCCAGTTAAATCCATTTCCTTTTCAAAAGGAAAAGGAAGGAGGTTTAACCTTCTTCAGGATAGGGGTGACTTGAAATATTTAGCTTTTGAAATAAATACACTCAACACTTTTCAAAAGGTCTAAGAGAGGTGTATAGAACTGAACAGTTGAGATGCTAAAGGCTTTTAAAAAAAGAAAACTGAGATTGGAAAGGAAGTGAGTGAGACTAGGAACTAATTTTATACCTTACAATCCAAAATATTAACAAAATGTTCCACTAAGAGACTGGGGAAGCGGAATTGCTAAATGAAAATACAGACGACGCACTTAGTTTTGAGCATAATGCTGAACATATTTAACTTCTGAGTTTAAATTCCTCACGTGTAAATGGAAAAATTAACACCCACCCCACAGTGTTCTTACGAAGAATCAGTGTGTTAATATAAAATGCCTCAAATAGCGACAGATACATAGTAGGTCTAATATTTTTCTCCGCACCCTGTACTTAAGAATATTGAGGAACTTGTCACATTTCAATGAGTCTGAGAGAAACCAAACAGAATATGTAAGTCAGTGTAACTATATGTAGACATCCGCCTCAACGGCATTAAAATAAGCTTTGGAAATTGAGCACTAAAAATTCACAGTCAGAGGAAAATCAGCACAATGATAATAGTGTTGACTATAATAACCATAGTGGTATATAACATTTTTTGAGTATTTATAGTGTACTGAATACTTTAAATGCATTTTTAAATTTATTCCTCATAGCCCTATGAAGTCTTATTGTTGTTGCCATGTGACAGACAAAGAAACTGAGCTTCAAAGAAGTTAAAAAACTCATCCAAGTTCACATTGCGACCAAGTCACATAAACACAGCTTCATCTAACTCTAGAGCACAAACTTTGAGTCTCTATGTTAAAGGTCTAGGAAAGAGAATTAATTTATTCAATCAACAAACATTTTGGTGCCTCCTATGTGCCCATTGACTCTTCAAAGTGCAGGGGATACAGTGATAAAAACCAGGCAGAATTCCTTCCCTCGCAGAGTTACGTTCTAAAGGACCGCAATCTCTGGAGGCTTACTTATGTGATGTGACAGGTATTCACATGTTTTAACTCAGTTATTCACCAAGGAGACCCTTGAGCTTCACTACTTAAACCTCTAAGGTATGTTCAATCATAGTTTCTAGCAGAAGGGGCTAAAAAGCCTGACACGTCACTTATGCTTTTGATCTCAAATTTTTTTCAGTCTCTAGGTCAGTAATTCTCAAAGTACGATCTTTGAACCAACTGTCTGTGGCAGTTACCTGTTAAAATACAGATTTCTGGGTTTCGACTCAAAACATCCTATATGAAAATCTCTAGAGGTGAGATCCAGGCATCTGTTTTTTAAATCGACCTCCCAAGAGATCCTGACACGCCAGCATGTGGGAGAAGCCTGACTCAAGGCACAGGCAGCAAGAGGCTTTTTTTTTTTTTTTGACCTAAGGCACCTCTTCACTTTCCCCTCATTACCTGACCAGCCTCACAGCCACACAGCTGTCCCAGATGAGTAATGAGGTAATGCGCTATGATGAGGCATTCTTTAAACCAGTGGTTTCCAGTCTTGGTTGTACATTAGCATCACCAGGAAAGTTGCTGTATCCCTCAGAGACTGGCCACACTCCAGACCAATCACATCAGAACCTTGGGGAGTAGTCTCAAGCAGCAGCATTTTTAAAACTCCCAGGTGAATTCCAGTGTGCACCAAAGTTGAGAGCTACTGCTCTAAAAAAATGCTTCTCAAATTTGAACATGCAAACAAATCACCCGTGGATCTTATTAAAATGCAAATTCTGATTCAGGAGGCCAGAAGACTCTGTTTCCAACAAACTCCTAGGTGATGCTGATGCTGCTAGGCCGTGGACCACATGTGAGGCAGCAAGGCTCAAGGATCTCTAAAATTATAAAAGATTATTTGGCAATTCCTATGCTTCAGTATGATTTTGTACAAAATAAGAGCTCAATGATTATCTGTTGTATATTTAAATGAATATCTTAAAACCTAACTATGGTCTCCTCCAATATCCTTGTCCTATGATTCCATTAGGTAATAATGCTTAAAAACTTCCTTCTTCATATTTATTCATTTTTAAGACAAAACTTCCAGAAATACATACATTTCTTTCTTTAAAAAAAAAAGACTTAAAAACTTGTGGAAATTATTCATTTCATATACCCAACTGCTATACCAATCTTGCTTCAATGATTAACAAATGTGGCTTTAAAAATTGATGGATTTTTAATTTGATTGAAGCCTATTATTTTTATTAACTTGATTCCATTTCACTGTACTTTATCAAATGCCTGGTTTTAAATCTGAGTAGAAACATGTAATAGATAAAGCTTTGTTTATAATGCTGACAAACATAACTCTCACTTACTTTTCCACCACTGTAAAAAAGCCTATGGAAGACGGAACAAAAATCATTTTCTGCTCAGTCAGGATCCCAGTTATCAGCTTCTCCACCACTTCCTCAGGCTCCAGGGTGGGTCCCAAACTGAAATCAGAAGTGGTCTTCAGACACAAAACATTTCACTCAGCCTCCAGCTTCAGTCTGCTGCTAAACAAATGAGTTAAATTACCATGGAAACCATAACACAACTGACTGGCAGCATGAAGCCCATCATAGGTGCTCAAAAATGGTAGCTGTTGGGGCCGGCCTGGTAGCATAGTAGTGAAGTTGTCATGCTCCGCTTCAGCGGCCCAGGGTTCACGGGTTCAGATCCTGGGCGTGGATCTGCACAGCGCTCATCAAGCCATGCTGTGGCAGCATCCCATATACAAAGTAGAGGAAGACTGGCACAGATGTTAGCTCAGGGACAAGCTTCCTCAAGCAAAAAGAGGAAGATTGGCAATGGATGTTAGCTCAGGGCCAGTCTTCCTCACCAAAAAAAAAAGGTAGCTGCTTTAGCAATAATAATAATAACAATAACAACCATTTATTTAGTGCTTATCATGGACTGCACACTGTGCTAAACATTCTACATAGGTTATCTCATTGAAGTTTTACAACAACCCTATGAAGGAGATACTATAGTCCCTATTTGGCAAATGAGAATTACAAAAGTAACTAGGACTCAAAAATAATTTAGCTACATTAGGACTGAAAAACTCACTTTTAAATCTTTAGAAGTCTTGGGAAAGAAGTCAGATTCCATTATATGAGTTTTATTATATACTAAGACTCTTAAGTGAAAAATTTCTAAAGTGTCAGATGAATTAACACATAGGAATGTCCCCGGCTCTAGGTCCTTGATCTCCATATGGATCCTTATATTCGTTAGGTCTTAATTTAATTTTCAGCTTTGTTACTTAGTTCCATGTTACATCTTCACTGTGTAATCACCTTGGCATATGCACTACTGAGTAGCAGGTGGTCCCTACAAAGTAGCCTTTGTTATCTGGGTGTTAGAATAAGTACACTTAAGATAGAGTTGTACAAGAGTTGGTGCTAAGTTTTTAACAGTTTATTAATGACTTAGAAAAAAGATACATAATTAAATATATTCATGAAATTCACCAGTGTCACCAAACTGTTTGGGTGACGAACATTTTGGGGAGGCAGATTTTAAATGCGTGTGAAGAGAAATGAGATGAAAAGAATTAGATGCGAGTCTTTAGGAATGAATACAGAATAGCTAATTGGGAAAAAAAAAAGAATATGCAGTAAAGTAAAATTGAGACAACTGAGAGTGCAGTATTGTACTTAAAAGCGAGCATGATAACAGAATACTGTGAAGGAGAGCAGAGCTTAAAGTATATGTGACATAACCTTTCCTTCTCAGCATAGGTCAATCATTTATTAGAAGACTATGTTCACCCCAGGACCCTGGAGTAATAGTATTACATATGAAAAGCTTAGAGATGTGACAGGAGAGGAAATACGATAATGAGAGCGATGGCTTTGGGCCCCAAGGAGGCAAAAATGAAAGGCAATGGAAGCTTGAAGAAGACTAATAGTCCCGTAGCCTGTGGCATAGATAGGTAATGGGTATCAAGGAGGATGAATCTAGAAACTGAAGGATGCTTGTGCCTTGAAAAGTGTTCAGAGCATATTTCCAGCATGTTGAGTATTCCCACGCTCCATGGAAGCTCACAAACACCTGTGTAAACAGCACACTCCCTCAGTCACACTGTGGCCTTGCTGACCTACCAATCAAATAGTGTTGCACTGACTGACCTTTTCTTAGTGCACTCCATCTCTTTACCTTAAGGTCTTAGCCTCTGTCAGAGGAATTTTTGTTAAATTTAATGGCTGTCCAATATCATGATTTTAAAAAGACCAAAAGCAAAGGTTTCCAGAAAAAAATTCAATTTTTTAGCAGAATAAAATCTTAACATTAAAATGTCGGTACATGAAAATATTTTTTCCCTGATAGTCTAATGTTAACAAGAGTCACAAATCCTATTAAATAAATGTTCATAACGGATTTTGTAGAAACTATCCAAAAACACTTTGGGCCAATCTGTTGGGGTGGGGAAGAACGCATGTGGCAGCATAGGAATACTCAGGGAGAAAGAGTATTTTCAGGTAGGACTGTTTTTGATTAACTATTTTTACTTAAGTAGCTGAGTAATTTGGGGGAAGACATTTCTACTCTTTAAAGCTCAGGTTTTTGTTTTTGTGTTTAATCTGAAAAATGGGGATAATGTAGTGGTGTGCTGGTAAATGTTTAACAACTCACTCTCCAGGGGACAGAATTACCAATTTTGTAGCGTTTTCCAATTTCTATGGTGTAAATACTCCCACCATGGCCAATTTCAAGCTACCAACATGGAGTTACATAAGCCAGCTTCAGTGCTCCACTGGTAACGTGATGGTTAAATGGGAAATGTCCATGTAAGTACTTTATACAGTTATACTACACAAATGTCACTTGTCATCTCCTTATATAACATCTTCTTTTTTATTCTACTAGACAATAAAAACTATCTGTAGCACACACAAAAACTAAATTTTTAGAGAAAATAAAATTTGATATGTATATTACATACAGGAGAGTAGATGTTTTAAAAGGATGTTCAACAAAAGTAATTCGTAGCTGTCAAAAAAATTAATCAGAACATCCAATTACACTTAATCTAATACATTCAGATTATGCTGCATTGTTTGTATCACTAATTGGAAAAAAAGAGATGACTTATTTGAGGGAAAAACATTTAATTAAAAACTATTCAGGGGCCAGCCCGGTGGCACAAGTGGTTAAGCGCGCATGCTCTGCTGCGGCGGCCCGGGGTTCGCTGGTTCGGATCCTGGGTGCGCACCGATGCACCGCTTGTCAGGCCATGTTGTGGCGGTGTCCCATATAAAGTGGAGGAAGACGGGCATGGATGTTAGCCCAGGGCCAGTCTTCCTCAGCAAAAAGAGGAGGATTGGCAGATGTTAGCTCAGGGCCGGTCTTCCTCACAAAGAAAAAAATTATTCATATACCTAACGATAGAGCGCCAAAATACATGAAGCGAAAATTGACAGAATTGAAGGGAGACATAGACAGTTTAACAATAAGAGTTGGAGATATTAACCCCACTTTCAACGATGGACTTAATAACTAAACAGAAGATCAAAAAAGAAATTGAAGACTTGAACAACAGTATAAATCAACCAGACCTAACAGCTTTTATAGAACACTCCACCCAACAGCAGCAGAATATGTATTCTTCTCAAAGGCACAAGGAACATCGTCCAGGACAGACCGCATGTGAGACCATAAAACAAGTCTCATTAAATTTACAAAGACTGAAATCATACAAAGTATGTTCTCCAATCCAATGGAATGAAATTAGAAATCAGTAACAGAAGGAAAACTGGAAAATTCACAAATATGTGGAAATTAACCAATGGGACAAAGAAGAAATCGCAGGAAATGAGAAAATGCTTTGAGATGAATGAAAAAACACAACATACTAAAATTTATGGGATGCAGGAAAAGCAGTGCTTGGAGAGAAATTTATAGCTATAAACACCTACATTAAAAAAGAAGAACTTGGGCTGGCCCCGTGGCTTAGCGGTTAAGTGCACGCCCTCTGCTGCTGGCGGCCCGGGGTTCGGATCCCAGGCGCGCACTGACGCACCGCTTCTCCGGCCGTGCTGAGACCGTGTCCCACATACAGCAACTAGAAGGAAGTGCAGCTGTGACATACAACTGTCTACTGGGGCTTTGGGGGAAAAAATAAATAAAATTATAAAAAGGTCTCAAATAAGTAACCTAACTTTCCACCTTAAGAAACTAGAAAAAAAAGAACTAAACCTAAAGCAAGCAAAATAAAGGAAATAATAAAGATTAAAGCAGAGATAAATGAAATAGAGAATACATAACAACAGAAAGAATCAATGAAATCAAAAGTTGGCTCTTTGAAAAGATCAACAAAATTGACAAACCTTCAGCTAGGCTGACCAAGAAAAAAAGAGAAGACAAACTATTAAAACCAGGAATGAAAGTGAGGACACTACTACCGACCTTACAGAAGTAAAAAGGATTACAGACATACCTCGGAGATGTTGTGGGTTTGGTTCCAGACTACCACAATAAAGCAAATGTCACAATAAAGGACGTCACATGAACTTTTTAGTTTCCCAGTGCATATAAAAGTTATGTTTACACCATACTGTAGTCTAGAGAGTATGAAACAGCATTATGTCTAAAAAAAAATCCACAACCTTAATTAAAATACTTTATTGCTAAAAAATTCTAACTATCACCTGAGCCTTCAACCAGTCATAAGCTTTTTTGCTGGTGGAGAGTCTTGAGTAAAACGCAAGTCTTGTGTAAATATCTGCAAAGCACATTAAAGTGAAGTGCACTAAAATGAGGTATGCCTGTATAAGAGAATACTATGAACAACTTTATGCCAAAAATTAGATAACCTAGATGCAACGTACAAATTCCTAGGATCAGACAAAGCACCAAAACTGACTCAAGAAGAAACAGAAAATCTGAGTAGATCTTTAACAAGAGATTAAATCAGTAATCAAAAAACTCCCAGCAAAGAAAAGCTCAGGCCCTGATGGCTTCATGATGAATTCTACCCAATGTTTAAAGAATTAACATGAGTCCTTCTCAAAGTCCTTCAACAAATAGAAGAGGAGAGAACTCTTCCTAACTCATTCTGTGAGGCCAGAATTATTCTGTTACTAAAGTAAGACTAAGATATCGCTAGAAACCTACATACCAACGTCACTTATGAATATAGATGCAAACATTCTCAACAAAACACTATCAAACCCAATCCAGCATCATATTAAAAGGATTATATACCATGGCCAAATGAGATTTATTCTAGGAACGCAAGGTGGTTCACCATATAAATATCAATCAATGTAATATACCATATTAACAGAATGAAGGGAAAGCCCCACATGATCATCTCAATAGGCACAGAAAAAGCATTTGACAAAATCCAACACCCTTTCATGAAAAAAAACCCACTCAACAAACTAGGAACATAAGGGAACTTCCTTAACCCAGTTTTTATAAGCACTTGTACAGCGCAGTCTGATCTGTATAAGCAGAGTGGAGTAGACAAGATAACAGGACTTATTAAATATGAAAAGAGGATTATCAACCTTTCTAATGACCAAAAATACATTAATATAACATTGAAGTACTGTTTTTTTCCCTATCATATTGGCAAAAATTAAAAGTGTGCTAATATTGAAAGCTGGCAAAGGTGAGGGGAATGGGCACTTGACCTCCTGCTGACGGGAGGATAAATTAGGACAATCCTTCTGGAGCGTAATCTAATAAATGTACCAAAGGTAAATAAGTTCCTACTCTTTGATTCAGCAATTGTGTTTCAAAAAAAGAATCATAAAATAGCTGGAAAAGTGAGCAAAGATACACATGCACACACACACTATATAAATACATACATGTACATATATACACATATATGAATATGTAAACACACAACACATATGTCTACACGTGTATAAGCACACACAAACAAGAATATGCATGTATTACAATAATGAAAGACTAAAGATCTAAATGTCCATCCACAGAGAAGACGTACATCCAAAGCTTGTTAGGCTAACATTAAAAAGAATAAAGTAAGGTAGCTCCTTATGTATCAACACAGAAAGCTGACAACAGCATATTGTTAAGTCAAAAAGGCAGCTTCCAGAATAGTATGTATGTTTCCATGCACCAGAAAAAGAAATGCATTAAATTAAGAACTATAGCCTCTTAAATTGGAAATCTAATTTTTCAATAAAGTTATCTCTGGAAGAGTAGCATCTTTGAAGGGGCTTTTCTCTATATCATTTAAATTTTGATTATGATCATCATACATTATCAGAAAAGCAATAAAGATATCTCCAATGAAATATTTAATATACATTTTTAAAATGATGATTCTCAGGAAAGAAGCTTCAATTAAAAATTTATGTTAAAAAATAAAGCTAGGAAGAGTAGGGCATTTGGAGTCAGCGAACTAGGAAGGAATTCCATTCTGCCACTATGGGGCCGTGTGACCTTGGGCAATTTTCTTTACTTTTCCAAGTTTCAGTTTCTTTGTCATAAAATAGGCATAGTAAGACTTACCTTGCAGAATTGTTACAAGGATTAGAGCAGAAGTAGGCAAACTATGCCCTGGGCCAAATCTAGCCCTCCTGGATTAGAGATTAGAGGTCATTTATGTAAGGTGCTAGACCTAGTGGGGTACTGTGTATTTAGTAGGCCTTCAATAAATGCTTTTAATAAAACAATTTCTTGATATCCAAGTTTTTTTTTTTTAACAAAAATAACTCTTACCTGTCAAAAAAAATTACTCAAAACACCTGATTACACTTAATTCCAATGAACTCAGATTAATGCTGCATTATAACCTTTACAGTAAATCCTTTTCTTTGCAGTGTGTTAGATGTGTAAATATAAGAATCAATAAGCTACATCTTTGATGTGCTTTAAAAAAGAATTTAAGTTCCAACATTAATATGATACAAATTATTTTGAATCAATCATTTAGAGGTTGGTTCAGCTTCCTTATTTCATAAAGGCTGTCCCCTGTGTAAAAAGGAAAATGTTTGGTCTGAATCTCAGTTCTGCAACTTATGGGCAAGTTACTTGATCTCGCTAAGCAAAGTATTGTCATGAGGTCTAAGAAAATTACAGATTATATTTAGTGTCCAAAATATAAACGAGAGTAGGATCTCTCTGTCATCTAATTAGAAGAACTAAGTTTCTAGATTAAAACCAGCTTCACCTTTGGTGTCCACTCTAGTATCAGCTACTCTTCAAAGGGGTTCACATGGCAGGACCAAGCCCCAGACCCTTCCTTAGCTGGATTATAGTCCTGTGATTAGGCTGGAATCATGCCAGCTTCTATTTCCTCTTTTCCCCCACAGCAACCTTCTCAGTTATTTTTTAATTGTACTAGTACAGCTTTGCCAGGAGAGGGCACCCTTGCCCACGTGAAGGTGGCGCCCTGTCCTGGGGCAAGGGTAAAAAATTGAATCATAATTTTAAAAAATATAGTGTCTGTTTTTAACTGCTGAAAGACAGTCTGAATGAAATCTTATTTCAGTGATCTAAATCCTGGAAATAATGTAAGAAATTGGCAAATTTTATCCTTGGTGATGGTACTCACCTCTTCCTTTGACACCTTTCAGTTTTAGTGAACTCTTTTTTAAAAAAAGTAATTGATTTATTTATTTTCATTGAGATATAACTGACATATCACATTGTGTAAGTTTAAGGTGACAACGTGTTGGTTTGACACATTCATATATTGCAATATGATTACCACCATAGCATTAGCTAATAACATCTCTCACGTCACATAATTATTTCTTTTTTTGTAGTGGGAACAATTAAGATCTAGCTTCTTAGCAACTTTGAAATGTATAATATTGTATTGTTGTCTATAATCATAATGCTGAGGGAAGTCAGCAGTTTACTTACAGCTTCCAGAACCCCATGTGTAATATATGCCAGTTATATAAAATTTAGACATTTAACCTGTACATAGAGAGATGTCTAGAAGGATGTTCATCAAAATGTTAAGAGTAGTTTCTACTGGACAGAGAGTTTTAAGGAAATTTTATTTTTTTTATTTTTATTTTTTTTTTTGTGAGGAACATCAGCCCTGAGTTAACATCCAATACTAATCCTTCTCTCTCTTTTTTTTTGCAGAAGAAGATTGGCCTTGAGCTAACATCTGTGCCCATCTTCCTCCACTTTATATGGGACGCCGCCACAGCATGGCATGACAAGCAGTGCGTGGTGCACGCCTGCGATCCGAACCTGCGAACCCCGGGGCCACCGCAGCAGAGCACAGGTACCTAACCGCTTGAGCCACTGGGCCAGCCCATTAAGGAAATTTTAAAAGAAACTTTCTTATTTATATTATTCTCTATATTAGAATTAAAAAAAAAGTTTGCATCATGTTTACAAAGACATTAAAGTTATTTCCAAAGAGAGGAAACATTAAAATTAACCTCAGAGCTCGTCTTTTATAATTTTATTTTATTTTATTTTTTTGGTGAGTAAGATTAGCCCTGAGCTAACATCTGTTGCCAATCCTCCTCTTTTTGCTGAGGAAGATTGGCCCTGGGCTAACATCCGTGCTCATCTTCCTCCACTTTCTATGGGATGCTGCCACAGCATGGCCTGACAAGCGGTGCGTCAGTGCACGCCTGGGATCCCAACCTTCGAACCCTGGGCTGCTGCAGCAGAGCGCGCGCACTTAACCACTACGCCACCGGGCTGGCCCCTATAATTTTATTTTTTAACCAAGGAAAGACTATGGTCTGGTACTCATTATGGAGGATAATCTCTAGATTACCAAAGGAAACTGTTTTTCACATTGTGGTCCTGGGTTATCTTTATCAATGACTTCTTATTATATTATATATATGATATTATTATAATATGGTGCTTGTTAAACATAGAGATCCAGGCCCCCTTCCCCACCACTACTCTATCCCAACCAAACACAATGAATCAACACCTCTGGGGGTAGGACCCTACATGGTTCCCAAGCACTCCTGGTGAAATGCATGTTTACTTAAGTCTGAGAACCACTGCTTAGGGGAAGAAAAAAGGGAGGATAAGCAAGTTCACCCTATCATTCATATTTTTATTTATATACAATTCTCTCCCTCTCTATCTCTCCACCTGTTTTCCCACAATCTATAGAAGCTGAAACTGAGATGAGCTAAGGGCATCCAATATCAGATATTTTAAAGATTAAAATACTTAGGGAAACCCACACAATGGCTGATAATCATAGCAATCACCAATCCTTTTTTCACCATTTCTGTCTCCACTTACTTGGTACTTGGGTTTTTGATGAAGCCAGTGTTTATGAAATTAGGGCAGAGGCATGTTGTTTTGACTCCGGTTCTTTCTAAGGCAGCCAGTTCTTCCGTCAAAGCTCTATGAAATCCAACAGCAGCAAACTTGCTTGAACTGAAAATAAACAGAGAGAGGTCACAAAATAATTCAAGAAAGCTGCCGCATCTATTGAATTCAGATGTCTGTTTCCTTTGTTCTCTGCCAGGCAGCACGGCCAGCACCTGAATCTCAGGGCCCAGCCCAGACGGACTGAATCAGAACCTGCGATTCTCAGGAAAGTATCTAGGCACACCAAAGTCCACAGAGCACTGGCATAGAACATTTACTGCATCCCAGCATCAGTGATCAGAGTGAGAACTGAGTAGGTGTAAACGTCTTAGGAAAATTGTTAGGGTGTTTGTTTTTGTTGTTGCCGTTTCCATAAAATTTAATGTCACTAAAGGCTGTTCATTATTTACTATAATATGTTCACGGAATTCATTGGAAAATTCTCCTAGATAAGCCCTAGTCTTCCTTTAAGTCTCAGCTTGACTTCCTCAAAGAGGCCTTTCCTGACCCCTAATTTAAATTATTTCCCCATTATATAGTAATATTCAGTTTCCATAACAGCATGTTTTGGATTTGTAATTAAATATTCATTTGGGTGAATTTTTTTTTTTTTTTTTTTTGGTGAGGAAGATTAGCCCTGAGCTAACATCTGATGCCAATCCTCCTCTTTTTTGCTGAGGAAGACTAGCCCTGGGCTAACATCCCTGCCCATCTTCCTCTACTTTATATGGGACGCCACCACAGCATGGCTTGATAAGCCGTATGTAGGTCTGCGCCCGGGATCTAAACCTGCGAACCCTGGGCTGTCAAAGCAGAGCGCGCAAACTTAACCACAATGCCACCAGGCCAGCCCTTGGGTGAATTTTTAACGTTTGTCCCCCATACCTTTTACTACCAGCTCCACAACTGTGTTGGTCTTCAATGCACCCCCAGGGCCTGGCCCAGTGTTTGCCCTATAATGGGTGCTCAATAAATATGTGTCAAATGAACGAATCAAAATGCAAAGCAATTCTTGTTGTCACAGAGAAGGGACGTTAATCATATTCTAAATGGACATTACTTTCCCAGTTAGGTGTTTTTTTAAAAAAAAAAAAAGCTTTATTGAGCCATAAATTCACATATCATATAATTCACCCATTTAAATTGTACAATTCAATGGTTTTGGGAATATTATATTATTAATTTTTTTAAATTGTGCAAAAATATTTATAACATAAAATTTGCCATTTCAACCATTGTTAAGTGTACAATTAAGTGGCATTAATTGCCAGATAGATTGTTTTCCTATAAGTCTGTATGGATTAGCAGTTATACAAAGTAGCTCTAAGATCTTGCCAATTAACCTGTGCTTTGGAAAATAAAAAGCTGTGGAAAGTTTTCTTTCACCCTTTTTTTTTTAAAGCTTAGACATAGATTGAAGGCTTAAAACAAAGATTGCCAGATTCAATTATATAAAATGTAAATCTTCTGTACATTGAAAAACAACACAAACAAAAAAAAGCATATCTAAAATGGATTACTATATGCCAGAGACTGTCCTCAGTCATTCAGATGCATTATTTAATTTAATCCTCACAACTCTATAAAATAGATACTATTATGATCCCCATTTACCAAAAAGGAAACTGAGGCACAGGGGGTTATAGAACTTGCCCAAGACACAAAACAAAGTAGTAGCATCAGGCTTTAAATCAGGGCAATGAGCCAGGCCTCTGTATGATATACTCTAAACTTTATTAATTAGCTCCCAATCAAGTTAAGAGGCAAATGACAAACTGGTAAAGCATCTGCAACATATAAGACAAGGATAAGGGTTAATATATGGCAACTTTTATAAACGAATAAGACAATACTCTAATGAGTAAATGGCTAAAGGACATTAGCAGAAAATTTACAAAACAAAAATACCAACAGCGGGGCTGGCCCGGTGGCATAGTGGTTAACTTTGCGCACTCTGCTTCAGCGGCCTGGGGTTTGCAGTTTGGATCCTGGGAGTGGACCTATGCACCGCTTATCAAGCCATCCTGTGGCAGGCATCCCACATAAAATAGAGGAAGATGGGGGCTAGCCCGGTGGCTCAGCAGTTAAGCGCGCGCACTCCGCTGTGGCGGCCCGGGGTTCACAGGTTTGGATCCCAGGCGTGCACCGACGCACCGTTTGTCAAGCCATGCTGTGGCAGTGTCCCATGTAAAGTGGAGGAAGATGGGCACGGACGTTAGCCCAGGACCAATATTCCTCAGCAAAAAGAGGAGGATTGGCATGGATGTTAGCTCAGGGCTGGTCTTCCTCATAAAAAAAAAAAAGAAAGCTAAAAGTGAGTGGATTTTTTTCTGCACTTTGTAACATTACATCAAATTTCTTCTTATTAATATTTCTTATTTCAAATTATTCTTTTAAATAACATTTCATTACAAGCTAATGATAGGACTCCATTTTTTCATGTCCTCCCATATTGGTAACTTTCATGCTTATAAATTGGCCATTTGAGTTGACAAGATATGTTAGCCAGAGTTTCATGGCACCTAATTGTTTTCTTTTTAAAATCAAAGATACTTTTGGACAAAACACTTAGCAAGCAGCAAAAAATATTTTAGAATCAAAAGATTAACCTCCCTCACCGTGAATCCAGTTCTTTCATCTTCTGTTTTTCACTTTAATCATTAAAACTGTTGAACTGTAACTCCAAAAGAAACTGAAATTTTTTTTTTCTAATATAGGTGATTAGAGCTGTAATAGATTTCCTTTGCTATGGCTGCAGCAACTCAGGACAGTGACAGCTGAGGGCTGGATTACAGGGAAAAGAACCAGGTAATTCTAGGTCCCCTCTCATTTCATTCTAACAATCAGGAGCCAGAGCGTATAGGATTAGTTCCACTGGGGCAGAGCATTCTGGAAGCTAAATGAGAGGTGGGACCTTCCCGTTTTGCGTGAATATAGGGAAGTGGAATTGGAATGTGATACCAACAGGCACCCTCCTATTATTGAATATTTGCAGGATTCCAGATTCTATGCTAAGTGCATTACATTATATGATTTAAACTTTACAGCATCCTGATGGGTTAGTTTGTTGCTATTATTAGCCTATTTTATGAATGAAAGAAATGAAGCATAAAGAAGTTGAGTAATTTGCCAAAGGTCACACCAAGTTAGTAAGTGATTGAGTCAAGATTCATAACATCATTATTTATAAGAATCCTACCCTGGAAATAACCCAAGTGTTCCTAACTAGTAGTATGGATAAATAAATTATTGTCTAGTCACATGATGTAATACTATACAGGCATGAAAATGATTAACCTACAGCTACCAACAACAACATGGATAAATCTCACAAACATAGTGTGATTCCATGTATATAAGATCAAAAATAGGCAAAATTAATGTATGGTGTTGCAAGTCAATATAGGCGTTACCTTCGGGAAGGAAAGAAGGATTGGTGGATTGGGAAGAGTTCCAAAAGGAGCTTCTGGGGTTGTGTTAATCTATTTTTTAACTACATGAACGGGAAATGGAAGTGTTCACTTTGTGGTAACCCATTGAGCTGTACACTTATAATTTCTGCATTTTTTAAATGTATGTTATACTTCAATTAAAAAGTTTATGTTTTAAAAAGTAGTGTCTCAGTTTAGTTGCCCAATTGTTAATAACAACAACTGAGAAACATTGGTCTCTGCTGGGAGAAGTCTTCAGTGTGTCTCTGTGAAAGTTCTACCTTGATCAGATGCTGAGCAAAACCCAGAATCAACTGAACTGAAGCTAACTGTGGTCACTAAGGATCACAGACTACAGCAGCTTAGGCCAGTGAGAGCTGAGGATCCAAAGAGGAGTTGTGCAAGGGCAAGCAAACCGCAAATCTGTCCCAAAGCTGGACGTGTACAAACCACTCGTGTGGTTACAACCCTGCCTTTAGCACAAATGGTGCCTTTGTGTGAATTAGAAAAAGCCACTCTTCTCAAGTTACTTTACTGCCAACTGCTGGAAAATCTCTTTAATCTAAAAGGACCTGGATGTGAACTCTGTACTCTAGAATTGTGTAGTGCACAATCTGCATATCTGTGTGTGTCGTTTCCGCTTTGACAATGCTTGATGAGAACCTTTCTGCAGAAAGCACCATCACTAGTCACCAAAATAAATTTGTTTCTCACACAAAGCATGTTCTCTCTTGGTTTTCACTGCTAAACACTCAGTGGATTAGAATCAATCAGAATCAAAAGAGCTACAGTATTTACTATGGCAAGAGAAGGAGGAAGTGTGACATGGTTCACAGCCCTGCTGGATTCTCTGAACCTCTTTGCTTAACTCCGTGCCTGGGGACTAAGACAGAATCCAGCAGGGAGTGGAATGTCATCTGACAACCTGAGAGCAGCACCTGTAGCTACCTTTCATTGAGGAAGCGGAATAAATGCCAAATTGTATTAGCCCTTGACAGTTAGAGGCTAACTGCCGAACTTAAACTGGCTCTCAGAGAGACAATTGGCAATCTGGACACCAGAGGTCTGCTCTGTGACCGCAGCAGCAGGTATTTCCTCTTTTTTTAGAAACTCAAGCCAACTCTATATTTATTTTTAAAACTATTAGAAAACAAGTATGTGTGAAAGAAAGAAAGAGAGCGAGAGCCAGAGCAAGAGCTAGTGAGAGCGAGGGCAAGCGAGAGGGAGGGAGGGAGAGAGAGAAAGCAAGCAAGCAAACAAGAAAGGAAACTAAGAGAGAAAGAAAGGAAATAGAGATGAACAGAAAGAGCAAACAAGTTAGCAAGGATACATACTAACCCTTTTGACTCTAACCACACCTACAGATGGTTGTTCTCAGGTAATGGCAAGACAAGTGATTTTTATTTTGTTTTTTTTTCTTCATCTATATTTTCATTCTTTCTTTCTCTCTCTCTTTCTAGAATTTAGATACTTAATTCCAAAAGAGTAGAATAGTAGGAAACAAATTTGAGCATTATTTGTATGCATATTTATTTGCACACTTGTAATTCAACATTTTAAGAGTTATTTGCTAAAATACAAAAACAACCAAGAACTGTTAGAGTGTGTGCAACCAGTAGGATCACCTTGGCTACAGTGGCCTTGCTGATCCGTTCTTTTTTTTTCTTTTTGTGAGGAAGATCAGCCCTGAGCTAACATCCATGCCAATCCTCCTCTTTTTGCTGAGGAAGACTGGCCCTGGGCTAACATCTGCGCCCACATTCCTCCACTGTATATGGGACGCCATCACAGCATGGCCTGACAAGCGGTGCGTCAGTGCACGCCGGGGATCCAAACCCCGGCCTCTAGCAGCGGAGCGCGCGCACTTAACCACGACGCCACGGGGCTGGCCCCTGACCCATTCTTTATAGAATTACAGTGGAGCACACCATTACCTTGCCCTGCTTACTAGAGTAAGTTCTTCAGTTATTACAGTGGCGTGGGTTTTTAAATGGATAACTACTAAAATTTTTTTTACAATAATTCCATTGTTTGGATGATTTTAACGTTTAGAATCCCAGATTATACTCTCTTTTTACATTGTTTTGTTTCCGCAAAATTACTTTATTAAAAATTATTAATATGGTATAAAAATATTGCTCTTGTTTTGTAATTCCTTGCTGCTTAAAAGGGATGAGAAATGCTTTAAGCAGTTGGCTTCTAACTGGATAATTTCCCTGCAGCCACCTCTAGAACGGTCATCCTAGGAGGGGATCAATGATTGATAATGCTGTTGTACAAGACTTGGTGCAACTCTTTCTGCCAATTTCAGCGACTTCGAGTCTATCATCATTTAACAGTAGTCCTCATTAGACAGGGAAAGAAATCACACATAAGTTAAACGTAGGAACCAAAAAAGGAAACACATGTTCACGTACCAATAAGCCAGTAAGTAGGCAACCCCAGTATGCCCGGCTGCTGAAGCCACAGTGACAATATGGCCATGATTATTATTCATCATCGCTGGAAGAAATGCCTTTGTAGTCTAGAAATAGTTTTTATTAAGAGAGAAAAAAATATAATTATTTCTTATTCATAGACCCATTGGAAATATTTCCAACGAAAGGTATATTTTGATAACATTGTGCTTGGCATAAATGAAAAAACCTAAATTAACTGCCAAATGTGGCAACATAAGGCAACTGGATAGGATGCCCAGATTAGAAAAACTAAGCACAACAATGGATACCGAGAGCTTTGAAAACCATGCCATTTAAATTGTTAACTTCTCATGTCCCCAGATCCTCTACCTTTTGTCACTGATGTCTTCTATCATCTCATATATTGAGTAGGTATAAGAATCTAGGGTTATCAAAAATATTTACATTTAATGTGAAATTGTTAGAAAATAGTTCAGTTATGTCATCAAAATACTGAAGTGAACAGCAATCTTCCAGTAGTCACGGAATGAGTCATGCAATAAATATTTATTGAGCACTTACTAATTGCTGGGGATTCAGAAACAAACAAGACGATATCCTACATATTAACAAAGGCAGAAAGACAGGCAAACTCATAAGTCAAAAAAATAGAAAGACGGATGTCAATAATTTGGGAATATTAATGTAAAATAATACTGCATTTTCACCAACCTCAATATTCTTTTGAGATTATTCATCCCAAATTCACATCCAAGAAAAGTTTGAGGGACCCTTTTAGCAACTGGCAATTTGGGCAATAGACTCTTCAAAAACTCTCTCTCTCTCATTATCTCTCTTTATATATTATTTAAGACCTTGAATGGTGAAGTTCATAATAAAGTTTGCAATTTGGGGGCCAGGAAATAACACGAGGCTTGAGTTTCATGAGACTCTGAAAGTAAACTGGGTTCACCTTTTATAGAATCATGGTAGATGACTCAGATGATCCCTAATCCCTTCCTTCATCTCTAAACAGGATCACACAGAGATGTGAGAATCTAGCTTAGAATTAAAACATGTATAACACCTGAAATTTACTATTATTATTAATTATTATTATTAATATTTTTGAGCAAGGAGGAAGAATGATTGATGGGATTTGGTTGTAGTATGAAAAATGATCTCTCTGTATAATGTTATCCCTGGTACCTGGAGAAAACTTGAGTATTGATTTGATGCGTCCTTATGTCTGCTGAAAGCTCTACTTTAAACTTAATCTTCAGGTTTTACAAAAGGGAATGTTTTTATAAAAGAAATCCTACTTACCCAGAAATGTGCAAGTATATTAACTTCAAAAGTCTTTTCAATCTGAGGGTCTTGTGTAGCAAACAAATCCGATGTGTAGATTACACCAGCATTATTTACTAAAATACTAACATCTCCTAATTCTGCCTTCACCTTAAAAAATAAAATAAAATAAAATAAAATCTGCATTATTAAGAGGTATGACGGTAGGTTTGCATGCAATGACTATTAAAAAAGCACGTGTTTTTCTATTAGATATGGAAAAAAAGTAGTTACATAATCTATATGCCAACACACACAAAAACCTTTTACTTTTAGGTACTTAATTTCAAAATAGGCCTGCCTGTAAGTCTACTAGGTAGAAATTTTCTTTTGCAATTTAGTCTCTTGACTTTGCTCTATTGCTTACAGCCCAAGAGGCAGTTGGTTAACAAAAACATAACCGGTGACAAATACGCAGCTTGTATTCTCTAAATACTGCTTTAAAAGGTAAGCAAGAAAAAAAATTAATGGGCAAATGCAGAGACTATTATAGGGAACTATGTAAAACTGATTACACTATTAAGCTGGCCATATCTTCTATTTCTTTATTTTTGAGGTCACTTCGTCTATTGCTCACCAACCTTTCTCCACCAGGTGACAGCAGGCTTAGGGGCTAGTAACGCTAGAACCAACTTATATGATATTTTTATGGTTCTTTGAGTAACTAGGCTTCTTGGTGGATGGCCCTTCGAGTTACAGTGCATTTTGTTATACACTGTGTTCCAAATAAAATCTAGGTTCTATTAATAAAGTTACCATTATTTAGACAGTGCTGCAGTGTTGGGAGACTGAGGGTGAGGTGGAAATAGTGGAATTAAAGCCTTTCATTGTGCTATGGATTTTACAGGATTTCATTATTTATTACATTTAATTCGCACAACAATTCTATGAGGTAGCAACTCAGTATGCTCATTTTAAAGATGAGAAACATGAAACATAGAATGGCTGTCTCTTGCCCAAGGTCACAAGCCAGATCCTCTGACCTCAGAGCTCAAGATAAACCTCAAACCTCAAACAGAAAGAAAGCTGGGGGAAGGGGCATCAACACTCCAGTAGGACATCAGTGTGCCATTGCTGGAGGTGCGTCAGCCAGAACTGAATTTCAGGTTGTATTTAGATTATTAAAGAGTCAAACTAAGTTATCTGGCCCTTGATGAACACTATTTGTACCTATAGCCACATCTCTAGTACGATATGAAAACTCTTGTTCAGAATAATCCCCCTAAGTTATTGAAAATAACAGGACACTTTATACGGTTGAATCGATGACATTGCTGTCATGCCTCCAAATTAATAATGTGACTCAAAATATAAATTACTGTTTTATATTGCCAAAGAATTTGCCCAGACACTCTTGACCCTTCCTTCAACCTTGAGCTCCCCATCATTACCTATTGTCTCTCCAGAGTGTAAATGAATGGTTTGCACCGTTGTATTTTTTTTTTGCTGAGCTAACATCTGTTGCTAATCTTCCTCTATTTTGTATGTGGGTCGCTGCCACAGCATGGCCGCTGATGAGTAGTGTAAGTCTCTGCCTGGGAACAGAACCCAGGCTGGCACAGCGGAGCGTGCCGAACGTAACCACTAGGCCACTGTGCTGGCCCCTGCACATTTCTTAATAACGAAAGCAAGCTGGGAGTTTAATGGTTTGGGTGCATAAAATTGTCCTGATACCAAAACAGCCATATCAAAATACCTTTTCAAAATATCTGATAATCACATGTCATTGTATGTACTCTGTTTAAGCATATGGTTTATCTTAGAACAATTTCAGTAAAAACACTATGGTTAAAATACATGGAATAGGTCCAAATAATAAAATTATCTTTTCCAGAAAAGCCTGCTCCCAGATGAGTCTGGAAACAAATGTTTTCCTTTTAGGTAACTAAAGATGTTGGGCTAGTAAATCCTGTTAACAATGGTTAATAACGAAATTATATAGATAATATTGGTGTTTCTATTATAAAACTAATAACTAATTCTTACAAAGTGACTCCTGAGTGCCAGGTACTGTTCTAAGAACCTTACATCCAGGGCCGGCTGGGTGGCGCAAGCGGTTAAGTGCGTGCGCTCTGCTGCGGTGGCCCAGGGTTCGCCGGTTCGGATCCTGGGCGCGCACCGACACACTGCTTGTCGAGCCATGCTCTGGTGGCATCCCATATAAAGTAGAGAAAGATGGGCACGGATGTTAGCCCAAGGCCAGTCTTCCTCAGCAAAAAAAGAGGAGGATTGGCAGATGTTAGCACAGGGCTGATCTCACCAAAAAAAAAAAAAAAAAGAACCTTATATCATTAATTCACTTAACCTCATAACAACCCTACTGCTTTGACCCCCATTTTATAATCGAGGAAAGCGAGGCACAGAGAGGTTAAGTAACTTGCCCAAGGTGATACAGCGAGTATTAACCAGAAGAGCACTCATCTCCATGAAGGAGAATCACTGCTAATTCAAGTAAAATACTTATTGTTAAATACAGATGTTTCTTACCTATAGGCCTTGCTCTTACTGTGCCTGCCTCCAGGAAAGCCATTTCCCACCAGTGGCCTGGGTAGTTTCTACTTTTCTTTTGACTTAGCTCAGGTCTCACCAATAATAAAGAGATATCAATTTAAAATAAAAGATTACAATCTAAAGATAGAAGTTAAAATGTTCCAAATCTAAAATTCCCTAAACAAAGATTTTCTCAAGTCTGGTTGAATCAGAATCCTCATACCAGACTGAATCAGAATGTCCAGGGGTGAGGGCCAGGAATGTGTATTTTAAAGAACTTGGCCAGTTAAGTCTAGTGACCTTCCTGCCATTATAGTATTTAGTTAGCGAGTGCATGTATGAAGGTGTTCAGAGTGAAGCCCCATTATACACAGCACATCTCATCTGGATATAAAAGAGGCAAATGGTGCTTCATAGAAATAGATCTATCTACCTTCAAAGCCTGAGAAACAGTTAGGTTTATCCTAATTTCCTAATTCAGTTCTTTGACTAGGCTTCAGAAGACTCTGTCAGTGATTCTGCAGTGTCATCCAAGGATTACCCACATCAGAATCAGATGGGCTGCCGCCAGCCAGGGCCCAGCGAGCACCTGCCGCGTCACCGCTGCAGCTGCCGGGCACTTCCAGCCCCAGTCGTCGTCTCCCAGCCTGGGGCCCTGCTGAGCTCGGCCCTTGCGCTCCCCGCTGCCGCCACGCCCGCAAGCCCGTCACCTGCGGCCGCCTCAGCCCTCCGGGCCATGGGCCTCTCCGGGCGGGCGCCCAGGGGGCAGGAGCAGCCTGTCCCTTATCCTTCCTTACACCACCCCCTGCCCAACCTGCTCTGACATTCCAGACGCAGCCTTGAACTGAGGTTTGAAGGTCCCAGGTGGCAGGCACAACCCATCTCTGAGTTTCCTCCTGTGCTCTGCACCCTGGGCACTAGGTTCTGATAGGGTATCTGGCCTTGGCAGGCTGGAGCCATCAGAGAAAGGCCTCAGGGGCACCTTCATTGTGATGACCTCATACACTCTATGACATCATCCTCTCTCCTACCCTCGACTCCTCCCCAACCAACTGCTCTGCAAACAGCCATCAGTCTGAATCCCAGTGGCCTGAGAAAGTCTTTTCTCCAGTACCTGCCGCTGATCTTCTGTCTCAGCCAGCAAGAAGCAACACGAAATGCAAATTCACTGAGAAAAACTATGACAGCTTCATGCTGCAGAAACTGAACGAACAGAGGAAATGCAGAGTACGAGGACATGGCCTTCACTGTGGACCACTATGTCTTTTTTGCACACAGCAATGGGCTGTCTGCTGTCTCTCCAGTAGTGAAGAGCCTCATCTCTAGCAATGATGTGAAGACCACTGATGAACTGTTTATCACCCTTGACCCTAACTACCTGAGTCTGGCCATGGTGGACCAGCTCCTGGTCTACTTCTACAGCAGCAAGGTGGTGATCATGGAGCAAAACATGGAGGAGCTGCTTCGTGGGGCCCAGTATTTCAACACAACACACCTTTGGGGGCCGGCCAAGTGGCGTAGTGGTTAAGTTTACACACTCTGCTTTGGCGGCCCAGGGTTCACAGGTTCGAATCCTGGGTATGGACCTATGCACTGCCCATCAAGCCATGCTGTGGCAGCGTCCCACATACAAAATAGAGGAAGATGGGCACAGATGTTAGCTCAGGGCCAATCTTCCTCAGCAAAAAGAGGAAGGTCGGCAACAGATGTTAGCTAAGGGCCAATCTTCCTCACCAACAAAACAAAACAAAACACAGCACGCCTTTGAATCCACTGCAATGACTTCCTGATTAAATCAATTAGCCCTGTCAACTGCTTGCGCTACCTCTTCTTGGCTGAGATGTTTGGACTCAAAGAGGTATCGGACTTGGCCTACTCTGGCATTCGTGACAACTTCCACTACTGGGCCAGTCCTGAGGGCTCCATGCCTGAGGACTTCATGTGCTGTCCACCTGTCATCGTTGGCTGCCTGCTTCAAGATGAAAACTTGTATGTGCTCAACGAGGACCAGGCTCTCAGTGCACTCATAAATTGGGTGTACTTCTGGAAGGATGAGCAGGAGAAGTATTTCACGAAGTTCTTCTACTACATCAATCTCAATGCCATTTCCAACAGGACGCTGATGTTTGCCAGCAACGAGTTGAGGGGCACGAAGAACAATTCAGCCCACGCAACCCTGATTGAGAGTGTCCTTGTGGAACGAAAGCAGGAGAGGCCATCCAGCCTGCTGAGCTACCAGCGGAAAGGGGCCCTGCTTGATTCGGTGGTCATCCTAGGTGGCCAGAAGGCCCAGGGCAAGTTCAGTGATGGAGTGTTTGCCTACATCATCCAGGACAACCTGGAAGCTCTCAGAGATGCCCTATCAGGCAGTAGCACTTAGTGCCACCTCTGCTGGTTGCTACATCTACATCTCTGGTGGCACCACTGACCAGATTTCAGGGCTGAAAACAGCTTGGCGGTATGATATGGATGACAACTCCTGGACCAAGTTGCCTGACCTGCCAATTAGGCTTGTCTTCCACACCATGGTGACCTGTCAGGGGACAGTGTACTCAGTGGGTGGGAGCATTGCCACAAGGCAGTATGTCCCTAACATCTATCATTATGATGAGTGCAAGGAGGCCTGGCACCTGGCAGGGAAGATGAGCATCCCTATGGATGCCACAGCCATGATTACCAAGAGTAACCGGAACCTGTACGTTGTCACTGGGCAGTGCTTGGTGAAGAGCTCCATCTCGGGGTGCCGGACTGCTTTGACACCAAAACTGGGGAAGCAGTCCAGAGTATCACCTTCCCCAATGAGTTCAATCACTGGCCCCTGCTCTCTTTTTATAAAGACAACATCCTCTGTGTGCACAGCCACACAGCATGGAAATGAACCTGCAGAAGATAAAGGCCAACAAGATGACCATCTCACAGCCTCTCTTGCCCAACAGCTGCCCCTTGGATGAGTCCCATGCTATATGCTCCGTTGGAGACGGCAGGGTGTTTGTATGTGGAGGTGTCACCACAGCCAGCGATGTTCAAAAAAAGGACTCACTCCACCATCAATCCAAATGCCTACCTGCTGGACCAAAAGACAGGCAAGTGGAAGACCCTGGGCCCCCCACCGGAGGCACTGGACTGTCCTGCCTGCTGTCTAGTCAAGCTACCTTGCAAGATTCTTCAAAGGAATGAAACCACTTTTTAGCTGGGAGAATAAAAATTAAAAAAAGAATCAGATCGGTGAGGTGTGAGTGCGTAGGGTACAAAACATGCAGATTCCTGGACCAGCCCTCGACCTTACAGAAAAAAAACCTCTGGGGTGCTTATTCTTTGACAAGCTCCCTGGAAGATTCCAGAACACACCAAAGTCTGGGCCTCAGATCTCAGTTCTAGGTCTGCCCCTACCTAGTGATCACAAAACTTGTGTTGCTTTGTCTGCATCATGACTGGGTCATCTCCAGACTCCCTCCCAGCTCTGACACGATATGAGTCTAAGCAAATGTAAAATCCCACCTTCTTGGCAGAGCTGTAAATATCTTCTCGGTTGCTGCAGTCCACCACAAAGGCATGAGCCTTTGCGCCCAGTCTCCTGCATTCAGCAGCTGTTTCTTCAATTCCATGCTAGGAAAAGCAACAAAGAGGGCAAGGAGAATAAAATAAATGACATGAGCACGTTATATCAACAGCTGAAAATAATTAAAGGGAGTCAGATTCTTTGAACTAGAATTGGGCAAGAATTTAACTGACACATATTTTTGACCGGGATTTAGGTACTACATGTCGCTCTCAGTACTCTGACTTGCTTCTGTTATTTGGAATTGAATTTAAAGCAAGCTTTTTTAAAGAAGATAAAAGTCTTAAAATACCAGTTTTGTATTCATGAATTTTACACACTTTGTGAATGCATGCATGTATGTGTGTGTATTCCATATCAGGCTTTAAAAAATAACGTTAAGCTTTTTTTCTGTGCCACTAAAAGATATGCATGGACATCATATTCTGGCTGCAAAAACAAAATAAATGATAAGCTCAGAGTTAAATAATAATAAGAGATAAATAATAAGCTCAGAGATGTCACAGTGTAGTAAAATGAAACATAAAATAAGTATAATATTTAGGGAGGACCATAAGAAATTATTATTTTGGAATAAGGGATTGGATATTGGCTTTATATGGTTCTAACTAATATGCTGCGCTAAGTATAACAGAGCTATATTCAGAGAGTTATGGAAACACAGTGGAGGGGCAAGCAATACAATTCTAGAAGAAGAGGCACCTGAGTTCGGTCTTAAGGGTGAACAGAACAGCCAGGTAAAGAGGGGAAAGGGCATACCAGGCAGAGTATAAGCACAGGCTCGGACGGGAGAAAGGTTCTGTGGGGAAGCACTACCAGATTGGTGCTGCGGAGTCACTAAGTTCAAGGCCAGCAGGAGTCCAGGTTAAAGGACATCATATGTCATATTAAGTTTTACCCAAACAGTTAGCGGGGAGCCACTGATTAAATTACAGAATCAGGTTTGTGTAATGTATTGACTATTCTTGCTAACGTATAAAGGACAGATTTTTGGGGTCAACACTAGAGGAAGAGAGAAAAATTCGGAGGCAGTTACAGTGATTCAGGCAAGAGATGATACCAGTTTGAATTGTGGCACTACTGGAAAGAATGTAGAGAAGAGAATAATCTTCAAAATACAGTCGTGTGCTGCACAAGGACGTCTCGATCAACGACGGACCACATGTACGACGGTGGTCCCATAAGATTAGTACCACAGAGCCTAGGTGTATAGTGAGCTATACCGTCTAAGGTTGTGTAAGTACACTCTGTGATGTTCGCACAATGACAGAATCACCTAAGGGCACATTTCTCAGGTATCCCCGTCAAGCAACACGTGACTGTATGATATCTTTAGGAGGCAAAAGCAGCAGGACTTGGTGACTCTGCATGAGGAAGTTGGGAAGGAACCAAAGCTGACGTCCTTGCTTTTTAGTTTTGGTAACTAGAAACACGGTGCTGCGAGAAGTCAGATGGAGATCACAAGGAGAGAGCAGATTTGAGAGAAGGAATGATGAGCCCAATCTGGGGCATCGATTTTGAGTCACCTTAAGTTCAGGATCAGACCACAGGGTTCTGTTTTTGTTTTTTGTTTCTATTTTTGCTTATTTGCTGGCTTGCTTTTGACCAATTTTGTAGCTTTTTTATTTTAAAGAATGTCTCAAATGATACCTTTGATTGAGGTTTAGTGTGTGAACTCTGCAAACCAAGAAATTATTGTCAGCTAATGCACAAGTGGACAGACTTACTACATTCACACTAGTGTGCAAATCTGCTAGTAAACAGCAATTACTTTGGCAGAAAAACTGAGTCTGAACAGCTATGGAAAGAATTAGCAGTTTGAGTAGTGAACTTATTGCGGCAGTAAAAGGAAACAGGGTGTTTTCTCTCTACTGAAATCTCCCACACAAACTGCAGCATACTCTGATGAGGAGCCCTTACACCCCAAGGGACATCAGAACATCTCAGGCAAACCTTATGTTGCTCTCCTGTACCTAACAGGCAGCTTTTAGCACTTTCCTTTATAAGTATATTTTATTAATATTACATATGATGGAATATCATTCAGCCTTCAAAAGGAACAGAATTCTGACACATGCTAAAACATGGATGAACCTTGAGGATATTAAGCTAAGTGAGACAAGCCAAACACAAAAGGACAAATATTGTATAACGCCAGTTATATGAGCTACCGAGAGTAGCTAAATTCACAGAGACAGAAAGTAGAATGGTGGTTGTCAAGGGCTGGGGAAGAGGGGAATGGGGAGTATTTGTTCAATGGGTACAGAGTTTCAGCTTGGGATGATGAAAGTTCTGGAAATGGATAGTAGAGATCATTGCCTAACAATGTGAATGTACTTACTGCCATTGAACTGTACACTTAAAATTGGTTAAAATGGAAAATTATGTGATATATATTTTACCACAATAAAAAAAAAGTTTAAAAAAGTATATTATATTGATTCTTTGGGTCTCATCTTTATAAAATTCAGTCCTTATTTGGAACAAATTTTACAATAAAAATCCATTTACCATTTATCCCATTTTCAGAGATTTGCTTATTACTGGTTGGCTTTGTCTAACTATCAATGGACAGAGTGTGTAGAGGCAAAGATGATCTTCCTTTACATATGCAGTCTAACTTTTGCCCTATTTCCTTGGTCTTCCTTTCTTAGGGCCATGGTCTGCTTTCCACGCCTTCTGAACTATGCAACAAATTTAAGTTCTAAATTCTACCAGGAAAAATTTTAGACCATCTCCATATTCATTTGGTAAGAAATAAAAAATAAGCAGACCTTTGGGAGAGAATAGGTTCCTCCCTTAAAATTTTTCTCAGCACATTGGAACAGCTCATCATTTTTCAAAATATCTCTTGTTAATTTTTTTCCTAATGTGTTGGATTCAGTTCTCAAATTTTAATCATGGGCTCCCCTTGAGCCTTTACTTACCATTCTTTTTTTTTTTTTTTTTTTTTGCTGAGGAAGATTGGCCCTGGGCTAACATCTGTGCCCACCTTCCTCTACTTTATTATGTGGGATGCCTCTACAGCGTGGCTTGATAAGCGGTGAGTAGGTCCGCGCTGGGGATCTGAACCTGTGAACCCTAGGCTGCCAAAGCAGAGCGCTTGAACTTAACCACTGTGCCACCTGGCCGGCCCTTTTACTTACCATTCTTTGCCCTCTATCCCCACAACTAAAACCTTTTGCCCATTACCTAGATTACTACACATCTAAATGTTTTTCTGATTCCTTCCATCACTTTTTTCCAATTATTCATCGTTACCTTTTTATTCAATAAACAGTCTTTGCATATATATTCCGTGCTCACCACTTACTGTAAATTTATCTTTCCAAATTTATCTAACCAGGCATGGAGGTGAGAATGGTCAAGAAATACGAGATTTTCTACATAAAACAGAATGAATAATTCATGGTATCAGTCTCAGTAGAATAACAAAGCGGAAGCCACCACCAAGCCTCCCTGAATTCACGATCCTTGTTTGTAGACTTTATGACGACTATGAAGATGTCAGCCCCTGACATCCTGAGATGGATAGATCTGGACACAGCTCTCCTTGCTGCTTGAGTTAATCCGAGAAACTGTCTGGAGACAATTTGTCTTTGTACTCTAGGTGAAAAGAATCTGATCTGGGGGGGCTGGCCCCGTGGCTTAGTGGTTAAGTGCGCGCGCTCCGCTACTGGTGGCCCAGGTTTGGATCCCAGGCGCGCACCAACGCACCGCTTGTCCGGCCATGCTGAGGCCGTGTTCCACATACAGCAACTAGAAGGATGTGCAACTATAATATACGACTATCTACTGGGGCTTTGGGGAGAAAAAAAGGAGGAGGATTGGCAATAGATGTTAGCTCAGGGCTGGTCTTCCTCAGCAAAAAGAGGAGGATTGGCATGGATGTTAGCTCAGGGCTGATCTTCCTCACACACACACACACACACTCTGGTCTGGCCCCTCCACGCCCCACCAGCTGGATCCTAAAAGAATCTTAACCTCTACTTCACTTTCTCACTCATTCTCCACATTTCCACCAGTCCAAGAGTTGTACATCTCTAGGTTTTGCTGCCCAAACTGCTCAAAATTTCCACTCTACTCTCCCTCCCCAGTCAGGGTTAGTGGTTCTCAGACTCTTCTAATTTAACAATCTGTACAATTCCAAGAGAAGTAGACTAGGGTGTATCTACTGCAGCAGGACTGCCAATCTCCTATTTAGCCAAATAAGGACATTACAGACGAACACAGCAACTATCGTCGTAATTTCATTAAAGGTATATATATTTCACCCACAACAAAGTAGGAAGGACATAATTTCAAAACAAAAGATGGATTATTTAAATTAAACGAATTCAACGTAATAAAAACACACGACATTATCCATCATTTTCTGACCACTTCCGCTGCTACCACCGTGGTCTGACAAACCAGCATTGTCTCTTATCTGGATTATCACTGTGATCTAACTGCTCTCCCTACAACCCAGCAGCCGGAGGAAACTCAACAGAAACTGGCTCAAAACCCTCCAGTGGCTCCCCCGGTAAAAGCGGAAGCACAGACAGTAGCCTACAGAAACAATAGGATCTGGAGTCTCTGTTCCTTAAGTCTCTAGACCAGCGCTGTTATAATGTGAGTCACAGACTTAATTTTAATTTTTCTAGTAGCCACATTTAAAAAAATATGTAGTAGTATATTTTAACTTAATATATCCAAAATATTATTTTGAAATATCTATTATTATGAAATGTTATCATTTCAACATGTAATCCATATAAAAGTTATTAATATGATGTTCTACTTTTTTTTTCATAATAAGTTTTTGAAATCTCGTGGGTATTTACATCTACAGCACATCTCAGTTCAGACGAGCTACATTTCAAATGCTCAACAGCGACAAGCGGCTAGTGGCTACTATCAGCTACTGTACAGGACAACATACATTCTCGACCTTGATTTTACTTCTTCCCCTTCCCTCACTCTGTGCCAAGCTTTGCTGATCTCTCTCTGCAGAGATATGTGAAGGGCTCACTGTACCCTCAGCCTCTTCTTTTTTTTATTTGTTTATTTTTTGTGAGGAAGATCAGCCCTGAGCTGACATCCGTGCCCATCTTCCTCTACCTTATATGGGACACCGCCACAGAACGGCTTGACGAGCGGTGTGTCAGTGCGCGCCCGGGATCCGAACCTGTGAACCCCGGCCGCCAAAGTGGAGTGCACGAACTTAACCGCTGCGCCACCGGCCGGCCCACAGCCTCTTCTGATCTTGACTCAACTGTCTCCATCTCAGCGAGGCCTTCTGATTAAGATCAACACTCCCACCCCTGCCCTCCCCACCATACAGAGTCCCTATCCTCTCCCATGTTTTACTTTTTCCTTATACTTATCACCATCCAACAATTACATATTTTATTATACAGCATGTCTTGTTTATCGTCCCCAGCTCATGAGGTTCGTGTTTTCCTCACAGCCTTATTCTCAGTTCTGCATTAGAACAGTGCCTGGCAGATAGTAAGTGCTCCAAAAATATTTGTTGGATAAATGCACTTTGCTCCAGATTAGAGAAAATTTTGTACAAACCAGCACTGGCATTGGGAGTCATTCACCTAGATGTGTAAACTAACCCTCACACATCTTTGAATTTTGGCTGAAACTTCACTTTGGAAAGGAATCATAATAACTAACACTCTAGTGTAGTTACCATGTGCCAGCCACTGTGCTAAATGTTTTGTGTACATTATTTGGTATAATCCTCTCAGCCCTCTAAGGTAAGTACTGTTATTTTATCCATTTTGCAGAAAAGAAACCTAAAGCTCTAGGAAGTTCCCGTGAAGTTGAGTAGTTATCCATGAAGAAGTGGAGAGCTCAGCTGACTCTCACCACACCCCCACGCCAGACACTCTCCAGTGTGACCACAGCAGACTAGGCTGGGCCTCATTTGTATCTTTCATTGCACATGTAATTATTTAATGTCTATTTTCCCTACTAGGTTGAGGTCATGGGACCCTATCTCCTGTTTGCCACTGTGTTCTTAGTATCTAGGCAACAGGTACTCAATAAATATTTGTTGATTGCTATTTCAATCACCCACTCACTGGGTTAGCTCTCATCTAACTTCACATACCCTGAATTCTTGTTCACAGCATTGGAGGTTGACTAATGTGTATGGGATGGCGTTTCAGGCTATCAAGTGCCTTCAGGAAACCTCTTTGGCCATCTGCCACTGGCCAAATCAAAGGGAAGACTCCAAGTTCCCCTCTCTTCCTTAAGCCTACACCTATTCTAGTAAAACATTACATTGAAATTTTTTTTTTATTGTTTTTAACTGAAAGATGATTTTAAAATTTTACTCTTGGCAATTACTATGGCAGAGTAATGTTGCTTTCTGTTGGGTCTAATCTTTTAAACTCATTTATCTCAGTAAGTGCAAGTAGAATTTTTTTCTTTTTTCTTTTTTTTTTTTTTGTGTGAGGAAGATCAGCCCTGAGCTAACATCCATGCCAATCCTCTTCTTTTTTTGCTGAGGAAGACTGGTCCTGAGCTAACATCGGTGCCCATCTTCCTCCACTTTATGTGGGATGCCGCCACAGCATGGCCTGATAAGCAGTGCATCGGTGCGCGACTGGGATCCGAACCCCTGGCCGCCAGCAGCGGAGCATGTGCACTTAACCGCTAAGCCACCGGGCTGGCCCCAGGATTTTTTTCTTAATAGGTACAAACCTCTTACTCTTTTAATATACTAGCTAAAACGATTACTTTTTCCATGTGATTAAGATAGAGGGATCAGCGAAATCAGGTTCAGGAAGAGCTTACAAATTATTTTCAGGGCAAAAGTGAGGATAAATTTATAATGTTAAATTAGTGATAGGCAGTAACTGGAAATCTTATATTCTCTAGGTCCGTTTTTCATGTGATCACAGAAACATTAATTAATCCATGTTTTTTCCCCCACCTATAAAATGGCAATAGTAATTTTTTCTACGTACTTTACAGAAATGCTGTAAAGGGCTGTTGCCTGCAAAACGCAGACCAGTCCACTGATTAAAGGTACCAGAAAGTAAAACATAGTAAGCACTATTACCTTATTTATATCCCACAGAACCAGTTTGCATTTAAGTTTGGCAAATTCATAGGCAGTCAGTCTCCCAATCCCATGTCCAGCTCCGGTAACCAGGACAATTTCTCCCGTGACTGATTTTCTCTTCTTGGGAATAAAAAGCTTCAGGAAAGACTCTAAGGTGAAAAGGATCAGCAAGGGCAGAAGCAGTAGTTGGTCCAGCAAGAATTTCATCCTTTCTGCTGCGGCGAGCGTCTGCTTTGCTTCCTTTACCAATCACTCTCAATTGCTTCTAAGAGTTGTTCAGTCAAACAGCAGAGGGAACAACACGAGAGCACGGAAGGGCTCCCTTATAAATAAAGAGAAACAACGCCAGACCGTTCCTTCCGCTGGGCTGGGCTTGGTTAGGACTTCTGCCATTGGCTCGGGCTGCAGCGGAGCGGCTGCTCGCCAGCTCAGAAATCTGGGAGGGCCAAAGTCCAGAGGAGAGCGAAGCTTCCTAGTTCTGGCGCCTAGCCCAAGCCATCTTTCGCCCAGTTTCTCCCTGTCTCCTGAGCCGGCCTCGGAGGGTTAGTTGCCGCGTGTTTTCCTAAATTTGATAAATTCTTCTCCAAGTTACAAGGTAATTGACAGTGCCTGCAGTCGAGGTGCGTCTTTGAAACTTGATGGTTGCCCATCACCAGTCAAGGGAAGAAGTGTAGTTTTCTGTGTTAAAGGAACCTGGAGAGAAGGCCAGTACTTGTTCCACTCCCAGCTGAGAAATGCCGCTATATCACATGTTAGTTTGAGCTAAGCACGATTTCTGGAGGACAGAGGAAATTTTGTCCTTTCAAGGACAGCGATAATCAAGCCCCAGGAAAAATCTGGTCATACAGAAGGGAATTGTTTCTACAAGGAAGAGCGTTATATCTGGATAACCGTTTTCACTCAAAACGTATCAGAATTTGTGAAAAAACATATTACAATTTAGTAATTGTATCTTTATCCAGTTTAATAAATCACTGCCTCCAGAATGAATAATAAAATAGAAAGAAAATCACCTTGCCTACAGATTACATATGTAATTTTTAGTTTAGGAGCCTATATATGTAAGTATTCAATATATAATTGGTGATTTAAAAAAAATCCTAGAGATTGGTTATTGAAAATAAAGACCCAACTCTGAACTTGTGTACCGTAAGAATTGTCTGTTAAATGTATTTTTTTCAACTCAGTTCTTGATAGTAATTGAATTGGGGCTTTTTGTGAGACACTACAGTGCTTGGAAAGAGACTTTTGTCATGTGGGTGACTAATGGTCACCCTTTATATTTAAGAGGCAGGAAGATCACAAGAAATTGAAGTTCACGAATAACTCATACTCGCTTCTCTGTCTTACTTAGCCCTACAGTGTCAGCGGGGATGAAGGGATAGTGACAGTCCTGCAAAAGCAGAGCTCCACCGTGGAGTTCTTGAAAATTCTGAGTATCATCTGCAACTTTTTCTTACAGCCCCCAAATCAGAGTTTACAATGGTACAAACATTTATATAGAGAGTTAACAGTTTCCAGAGCTTTTTCCTACACGTTATCTCATTTGATTTTCAAATAAGCCTCCTAGGAAGTAGAGAAAAAAACTATTTTGTGAACGAATAAATCAGTTAGATTGAGTTTCTAAGGTTCCCATGGCAAGTAGAAGCGCAACTAGGGCTAGGGGCAGGGTCAGTGTTTGTCCAAGTTTTTTGCCCAATACCTGTAGGAAGAAGTCACATTTCACATGGTGACCTAGTATATGTGTGTGTTTCCTTTCATGTATGTTGACTTTCATATATATTGAGACTCTGGCTCTGCTATTTTTCTGTTAAAAAATTGTATTTAAAAAAACTAAGTAGTTTTGATTCACTGGGTTGACCAGGGTTACATTGGTCTAGGGAAAGAGCCCAGGTTTGAAAGCATTCACACCTGAATCCCATGTGTATGTGACTTCGCCTCCCTGAGCATGTTTCATAATTTGTAAAATTGGGATGTTACTAACACTTACCCTACAGGATTCTTGTGACGTTCAAATGAGTTAACATAAAGCAAGTACTTTATCAACTATTCAACTCTGTGTAACATAATTAACACTAATATAATTATAATGTGAATGGTTTTGTGAATGATGATTAACTACTAATCTGACACTGTGGTAAAGTATGTGATTTTATATATTTGTGGTTTTTAAAAATACCTTTCATTGGGTAAGTTTAAAATGTTTTATATGGGGCATCTTAATTTCATACTGCCTTCTGTTAAAAACAAGACAACAGGCTCAAAATGCAGTTGCGTATGCTAAGCCCCATGTCGCCAAACTGAGACTGACTTACAGTTTCTGCTTTCCCGGAAATGGAATCGTAAACCAGGCAATCAGGAATCACCTGATCAGCACTAGTTAGGTGATCTGATATACCTCTGCCACGCCCTATGGAAAAGTGACCTTGCAATAACCAACCTGCTTTTTTGCCAGTATAACTTCCTTGTTCCCACTCCCTCGTGCCTATAAAAGTCTTTCATTTTTTACAGCTCCTCAGAGCTCCTTTCTATCTGCTAGATTGGATGCTGCCTGATTCAAATTGATTTTTGCTCAAACTCTTAAAAATTTTAATGTGCCTCAGTTTATCATTTAACACTTCCCAGCTGTTGAAGTGGCATAAAAAAAATGAAGGACAAGGGGTCCTTCAGCGATATTTTGAGCACTTACTATGGCCAGGCATTGTGTTAAGTGTTTCACATACAAACACAGTTCATCTTATCCTCTCAATAATCTTAAACAGTAGGTTCAATTGTGATGTCTATTACATGAATGAAGAAATAACGGATTAAGAGAAATAAGTAAATCGCCTGAGAGCATAATATAAATGGTAGAGTTGAACTTAAACCTGGGTTTTTATCACTATGCTGGATTGCCTTCTTTCTTAGGGCAAAGAAGAAAAACTAAGCCAGTTCTAAATCACTTTGGAAATTTAAAAGGATCAAAACTCCTACTATTCATAACACCTCCTACTATTCATGGCTCCTACAGCAGTCATAATACCTCCCTCTCATACCATTAGGTAACTTAAATGCCTAATTAGCAGGCAATAGAGTGCAGCTATTAAAACGATGAGTTTGAATTCCTGCCAAGCTTGTTACTAGCTATGTGACATCTGGTTAATTATTTACTCTATCCTGAGATCTCAGTTGCCTCATCTGTAAAATGGATATAATAGGAGTTTGGTTGAATAAATGACATATTTAAAAAGCACAGAGCAGGGCCGGCCCCGTGGCTTAGCGGTTAAGTGCGCGCGCTCCGCTGCTGGTGGCTCGGGTTCGGATCCCAGGCACGCACTGACGCACCACTTCTCCGGCCATGCTGAGGCCGGTCCCACATACGGCAAATAGAATGATGTGCAGCTATGACATACAACTATCTACTGGGGCTTGGGGGGAAATAAATAAATAAATAAAATATTTAAAAAATAAAAAGCACAGAGCATAATATCTTACAGACAAATATACTTAATGAACGATAGCTATTACTATCAACCAGGAAATCTTTCTGCTTTTATTTTCCTTACTGAACAAATTGATGGTAAACTCAGATGCAAATATGAGGTGTTCTGGTTATGTATTGCTGTGCTGTTATGTATTTCTATATCTATCGGGCTGACTGTCCTTCTGTGTATCATGTAGCTATATTATTTATTGTCTATTTTTCTCTATAAAATAATTCCATCACCATCATCACCACTAATTTTGTCTTTCCAACTAGGCTGCACAGAAGGATTCCATGCACAGTTAACTTCTGTGTTTTTCACAGTGCTTAAGCACAGTGTCATACACAAAATAATGACTAGTCCATAAATATTTCTTTTTGATCTTTGTTTTATGAAAATTATATAATTTTTGTTTATTTAAAAAACAAAGCACAAAAAATCCGCAACAAATATTGGCAAACGGAATGCAGCAATACATTAAAAAGATCATACACCACGATCAAGTGGGATTTATACCAGGGACACAGGGATATTTCAACATCCACAAATCAATGTGATATACCACATTAACAAAATGAGGAATAAAAACCACATGATCATCTAAGTAGATGCAGAGAAAGCATTTGACAAGATCCAACATCCATTTATGATAAAAACTCGCAACAAAATGGGTATAGATGGAAAGTACCTCAACATAATAAAGGCCACATATGACAAACCCACAGCCAACATCATA